GATCCGCTTCTCAGTTGGGATGATGGCAGTGCGCTGATAACGACAGGCTATAGCTCTGGCAGAGGAGATGGTGAGGAGCCGGCAATAATGGTCCAACAGGCTTCTGAGTGGGTGGGGGATGGTTAGGATGGTCCGACAGGCTTCTGAGCAGGGGGAGATGGTCCAATGGGCTTCTGAGTGGGTGGGCCCAAGAACAAATCTTGCACCAGGGCCCTTTGTTCCCTAGGTCCGCCACTGACCCCAATGATTAAAAAAAACCATCAATGCAAAAATCCGTTCTCAGAATGAATGACACAGAGGCTCGTGCAAAGAAATAATGTACAAATCACTATGACGGGAGAAGAGCCGGTCGCTTACCGGTGTACTCTGGGATGGAGGCCGGCGATGATGCTGTGGATCCAGTCTCCCAATCCTTATCTCCATTCTGAGAGAAGAGACCCCGGCTGGGGGACATGAGACCAGAGGGAGAGACCGCTCTGTGAGGGAGAAAGAGAGCAAGTGGTCATTTATTAGTGTATGACCTCCCGGGCATACAAGGACCACCAACACTGCACCCATTAGCAGAACTACTTTTATTTCAGCTCTGACTGTGTGACGAGATCTGGGAAACCTACACCGAGACCGGGTACACCGAGACCGGGTACACCGAGACCGGGTACACCGAGACCGGGTACACCGAGACCGGAGTGTTTGAATGGAACTCCAGCACAAGTCTTTCTTTCTTTAGACAGATTTGGGAAATGTTAGAAACTCTGTCAGCCTGGTCTGTGGGCCTGTTGGGGAGATTTCCCTTCACTACCTGGGTGCTCACTGGGACATGGGAACAAAGAGCAATAACTGTCCGACAGAGGTTCTAATCCAGCAGTGGTCAACTACAGGGCTGTAACTACAGATCACGGGGCCCCATAGCAAAAATGTGATGGGGGGCCCCCCTGATGAGCTCTCTCTGAACTGTGAGTAATGAGGCCGAGATTCCAAAGACTCCTCTGAAGTCATCTCTGTAGGCTTTACAGGGTATTAGAGTTGTCATCAATGCAACCACTCCAACCCTTAAAGGAGAACTATGGGGTAAGTGTTTTTCACCATAGTTCTCCTAAGGGTAACGGGAGGACACAAACTAGCGTCCTCCCGTCACCCAAAGCTCAGTATATAGCGAGCTACAGCTCGCGGTATACGGAGACCGCCGCAGCCGGGACGGATCCTGACATTACTGTCTGGATCCACCCAGCTGCGTGACTGACAGCTGGCTCTGCCTATCTAGAGGCAGAGCCAGCTGTACCCGGAACCCTCCCCCGTCCGTTCCGCCAGTCAGCGCTGGAGGATCGGAGCGGGGAGGGAATCCCTGCAGGGAGCTGTGAGTAACCGTCACGGCTCTTTGCATGGACATGATCGAGAAGTGAGCGAGTGACGGTATGTGTTTGCTCACTTCTCGATCTATACAGCCGACGTGACAGTTTCATTGTCACACGGCGGCTCGAGCTATCAGGTTGAGTGAAAATCACTCGCCTCATAGTTCTCCTTTAATGACACAGTACTTTAATAACATATTCTATGTTTAATTTCCCTCAGAAACCTAATGGGGTACCCCTTCCACCTCCAGGCCCCATAGCAGCCCCAATACCGGGTATTTGGGTTGAGTACTCGTATTCGCCCAAATGCTCCGATACCGGATCTTCTGGTCAGAGGAAGATTTTCTCTGGCCGGCAGTTCAGTAGGGGGAACATGGAGCCAGCTTCCTGTGCGATCAGGAAGCTGGGCGGCGAGTAATGACCTGGCTTCCTGATTGGCTGGGAAGCCGGCTCCATGCTAATTGCCTGGGAAGCTGGATCGATGCTGATTGGCTGGGAAGACGGCTCAATGCTGATTAGCTGGGCAGACTGGTCTTTTGGCCAAGCACAATCAAGCCGGTAAGGCAACATGGAGCCAGCTTCTCCGGCAAACAGATTGCCCAGGAAGCCGGCTCAATGCCAGCGGAAGCACTGGTAGCAAAGAGTCAGTACTCGTACTCTATACCGAAAATCCGGTATCCGTGCATCCCTAATTGGTACCTCTAATAAACTGCTCTTAGTACTGGCATTTTTTACATCAGGATTTATGTGTCTGAAAGGCAGCAGAAAGGGTATTCCATGATCCCCATAACAGACATAAGGGGACATACGGGGGTTACTGAACTACTCAGCAGGTAGGCTCCAGAAACGTATCTCAAGATGCTAAGCAAAGATGCGTTCGGAAAGACAAATCTCAAGAGACCGCTTGGTCTTTGGTGCTATTCACCCCCCTACATGTTGTCTACAGAGGTAGAACTTTACCTTGGAGATCTGGGAGACCTTCTCATTGATCCAATGCCATTTTCAGTCCCCACCGTGGAGAGGGACATGGTGGACTGAGAATAAACTTTACTCAGCTTGGAACCTGAAAACAGACCACAAATAATGACCATTCTTCATCAATCCAGCAAAAGCCAAACTTCTAAAAACTTCTATGAGTGGCATTCATCTCTTCCATAAGCTCAGATTATTACCCAGCAATCCTCTGACAGGGCTTCGGGCGATCATCGAGTCATCGTTGAAGACTGTCTTGGGTCGAGGCTTCTTAACAGCCCGGACTGTCATGGGTTTCTGCCGAAGAACCTTGTCCAGGTCTTCCATGATCTTCAGCTGGTGCCGACGCTGATACTCCAGCTTTGTGAAGTCACCGCGACGGTGAATGGACTCTTCATCCTTACGCTGCTTCTGCTGTTGTTGTTGCTGCTGCTGCTGCGGCGACTGTTGCTGTTCCTCCTGCGGTCTACAAAAGTAAATTGAAATGATCATGCTTTAGAGCAGTGGTTCTCAACCTGTGTAACCTCAGGACCCACATTTGTCCTTGGCCATTAAGTCGTGACCCAAGTCGCACTGCAATGGAATGCACAGCATTAGGGTATTGCGCGGAGGGAGGTGCGTTTGGGGCACCATTCAAGTGAATGGCAACGCAACACACCTCCCACACCAGAATGCACGGTAGGTGCGATTGCGTGGCGCAGTTTAGTACACTGTACAAGTGTGAACGGGCCCTCAAAAACACTGAGAACTGGAGTGGATCCTCAGCCTGGGGTCCAGTGTGAGCTGCTGGTACAGCTCTCTTGCATGCCCTGTACAGGTGCCAGGAGCCAGAATGTGACATCACTCCAGTCCAGGCACCTCTATAGGACTTGTGAGGGAGCTATAAATCAATGCACGTATGGATGCAGCTCCCTCGCGGCCATACCCCAGGCCCACCTCACCTAAAGCTGACACAGTGCTGGGAAGCATATTTTGAATGGCTGCTTGGCTCGAGAACTGACCGCTAAGGAGCCTCTCACCTAAAATAGTGAAAGGCAAGCGCCGACCCACTGAACACAGGGTCACGACCCACCAGTTGAGAACTAAGGCTTTAAAGTACTTGCTGAGAGGAGCAGCATAATACTATCTTACATGCATACATAGAGGGCCAACTTAGAGAGGAGCCAACTAACCTACCAGCATGTCTTTGGAGTGTGGGAGGAAACCGGAGTACCCAGAGGAAAGCCAAAAACCATCTGTAAGGAGTTTGCATGTTCTCCCTGTGCTTGCGTGGCTTCCCTTTGGGTACTCCGGTTTCCTCCCACACTCCAAAGACATGTTGTTAGGTTAATTGGCTCCTCTCTAAGTTGGCCCTTCTATGGATGCATGTGAGATAGGGACCTTAGACTGTAAGCTCCTTGAGGGCAGGGACTGATGTGAATGTGCAACTATGTAAAGTGCTGCGTAAATTGTCGGCGCTATATAAATACCGGTAATAATAATAATACACAGGCCATATGATCCACCCAAATTGTATATACTGAAGAATATTACTCCAATGTCCAGAAAGAGTATCTAGACTTTACTCCAGCTGGAAACTCCAGAGTTTTTATTGGAACAAGAAGATGGAAGTCAGTTCCAGCTTTTGAAGTACCAAAAGACATCAAAGAGCAGTCTTAAAAAGGGAGTCCTATGCCTAAAGATTGGATAGAAGGGGAAATCCTCCGCACACCTTGCAGCAATCCAGGCCTATGTAGACAATGGTGCTTGTAGTGATGAACACGGATGGCACCGTGCAGACACAATGTAGGAAGAGGAATCACCAGCACTCAGTCGAATAATCCAACATGTCCATTTATTGGACATAGACGTCACACAATCACAAGAGCCAACGTTTCGAGACCACGCATGGTCTCTTCATCAGGGCATAAAGACTCATAAAGTAAAGACTCAGGACTGAGTAAAGTAAAGTAAAGACTCAGGACTTATGCCCCGAGTGAAGACTGAGTAAAGACTCTTTATGCCCTGATGAAGAGACCCTGCATGGTTCGAAACGTTGGCTCTTGTGATTGTGTGACGTCTATGTCCAATAAATGGACATGTTGGATTATTCGACTGAGTGCTGGTGATTCCTTTTCCTACACTATGTCTAAAAATGACATTTATGTTGACCAGTTGGCACATACTTGGCCTCCTCTTTTTTCTCTTTTTCCTCATCTTGCCACTGTTTCCGTCTTTTGACTTCTTCCATCCTCTTCTGCTGCTTCTCCAGCAAGGCCGCCCTCCTCTGAGACATCTCCACCTCTGTCCTCGCCTCACCCTGAGGATACAAAAATGCAATACACCTACATTTACAACTCTCCAAATTCCCTCCATCACCATATAGAACATATATAATGGATGTCAAACGTCCAAACAGTATCCGTGTAGGAAAATGCTAATGGGATTTAATATTTTAAAAAGCAAAGGGCACAGGATATCATTTCTCTAATGTTATTTTACTGCTTTCAGATTTAAAGTGGACCTGTGGCTAGATTACTATAAAAGGCAATGGCTTTGAGTGACGCTATAGCAATGCCACGATATTAAAACAAAAAAACCCCCCACTTAGAAACCAGTAGTATAGTGAAGACTGTAAGGCCACGTTCACACCGAGCGATTTATCGCGCGATTTTTGCAGCGATATCGCTCTATGTAGCTTCACCAATACATTTCAATGGAGCTGTTCACATCTCGTCGCTCAATATCGCTTGTAGCTCGTCGCTGGTAGCTTGTCGCTCCTACATGACCCTTTTTTAGAGCGATTTCGAGCGATATTGCTCCTGATTGCATACAGCCCAATAGGAAAAAGTCGCGCGACACATCGCTCAATATCGCTCATCGCGCAATATCGCTCAAAGTCATGCGACTTTCATGTCGCTCAGTGTGAATGGGGCCTAAGGGTTACCTTTTACAGTATTGTAGCAGAGATGCCTCCAGACCAGGAGTAGGCAATCTCTGGCCTTGCAACTACAAATCCTAATGAGGAGGGAGTTGCAATAGTCAAGACGAGATATAACGAGTGGATGAGCAGCTTTGTGGTTTCATTGATGAGGAAGGAGCGTATTGTTGTGACATCCAGACGGATATGTCAGTTAATAGATTAGTGACACGCAAGGACACTGAGGGGGAGAGTTGTGGCATTGCAAGACTCTGACAGCCACAGACATGACTCAAGGAGGCAGATGCATTATGGGATATGTAGTTTCACCATAGCTGGGGGGGCCAGAGTTGGCCTACCACTGCTCAACAGCCTATTCTATTCTCTCTGAAGGTTAGGTAAGAGATAACTGTACACTTGGAAGTACCCTTGCTAACAGGGAACAGAAAGACTGCATATAAAAAGTGAGCAGGACCGTTAAGTGAACCTTTGCCCAATAACGTATTCACACATTCTTATTATGAAGCAAAGGAGCTTTAAAACAAGCCCTTTCTGACCTCTCTAGCTGCATGTACTGTGAAGTAATTCATTCTCAAAGATCCTCAAAGATCACAACATGTTTGCATCAGGCTGCCAAGATTATGTTGCAAAAGAAAACGAGAGTGAAGAGAGCAAAGATTTTGCTCAGCCTCCTTTGGCAGCGGTGTGGGGGAGGAGACAGGCCGCGCTGTCACAGGAGGCTGAGCTCTCCTCCCTGCACCGCTCGCTCAGCCTCCTGTGACAGCTGTCAGGAAGGAGAGCGGAGTGCAAGCAGTCAGTGATCGCTGAGTGTTTGTACATAATTAAGAACATGGAATGTGTACTATATCCTCAATTATGAATGAATGGGAAGTGATCTACATCACTTCCTGTTCATTCATGATTGTGGTTATAGTAATACACACAATGTTCTCATGATTTCAATGAACAGGAACACTCAGTACAGAGGATTCTTGTTCATTTATAACAGGGGCTGCAGAATAAGAGACTGAGGACTCTGTGTGTCTCTGAGGACTCTGTGTTCTCAATCTCTTTTTCTATTTTAAAAGGGAAATATCAGGGGTCTGTTTAGACCCCCAATATTTCCCCGAAGCCCCTAAAAGTAAAGTAAAATTTCCATTTCGGTGCACCTCTACTGCTGATCCTTACCCCATATTGCAGAAAACACAGCTTACTGAATGGCCTTACCTTAAAGAAGAATCCGAGTCCTCTCTGTGCTGCACCGTCCTCTGCCAGAGTTGCGTCTAGTGAGTCCATTCCTTCTGAATCTGAGTCTTCTGTCGGTTGCAGATCAGACAACGGGATCTCAATCAAACTGCTCCTCTTCCCTTCCCTTTCCTCCCCAGCCAGTGGCCCGACACCACTACTCTGAGGAACCACCGAGGCTACCGGGCGCAAGTTGTTTCCATGGACTTCATTAGATGGCAGGGTCTCTTCATTTTCATCTTCTCCACTCATATTATGTGTAAAATGTAGAGAGGATCTTGTCTGGACTGTAACTTTGCTAGGAGAGAACTTGCGCAAATGAGGTATGGTGTCCACATTTTGGGGTGGAGTCAGGACTCTGTTGAGAGGCGGAAGCTTAAGCTCTACTGGCCTGTTATTTTTGGGAATTTTGGGCGTTACAGGCACAGGTTGCAGAGACCTCCTGGTATTGGGTTGGGGGGACTTAGGAGTTATTCGTGAAGGTGACTGAGAAGGAGATGCAGATGAGGAACGGGGAGTTTGGAACTCCCTTGTAAGTCTAGTAGGAGGTGAAGACCTGGGTCGATGGGGTGGAGGAGAGGACTTTGGAGCTGGGATAACCCAAGCTTTGCTCTCTTTCTTCATGAACTTATCCTGCTGATCAGACAGTCTTTTCATGTCGGTCTGTAGAGATGATAGTGCTGTATTTAATTTTGCTACTGCTTTATTATAGTCTCCGAGGTTGTTGTCTAGTCCAGCTTTTGTCACCTCAGGAGAAAAGCTGACTTGTTTTTCTCCCCGTGGTTTTACAGAACCGTCATTCATCGTCCCATGATTATTTTCCTCATCATTTTGTTTAATCCGTCTTTCCTCTAACTCTTTAGGAAGGCCCTCATCCGGTGACAATTTCAGATCATCCTCGTCACCATCATCCTCCCCTTCTTTATTTTTCAACTGAAGGAAGGCACTCGTCCCAAGACGCTGTCGATGCTTTGCAAAGATTGCTTCAATTCGCTTTTTCTGGGCTTCGATGGCCCTTCTTTTCTCTTCAAGCCTGGCACCAAGCTGGTTCATCTCAGAGTTTAAAGCTGGGCTCTTCACAGGAGACTCCTCTGCCTTTTGGGCCCATGTGGTCGTATTGGGTGCAGTAGTAGATGGGAAAGCATCCGAGCTAACTTTGGCATCAAGTTTCTTCTTGCGTTCAGCGAAACTTGTCATCTTTGTACCGGATCCAGCCGAGGAATCCGCCTGTGAGCTAAGAGAGCTGCGACTGGACTCTTGGGTTGCCTTATTCTCATCCAGATCAGAGTCCAGGCTATTGTCTCTTAGCACAGAGTCATCATCTCTAGACAGTCTTCTAGAAGTATCATGTGTCCTGTACACACCTAGATCCGGTACCATATCATCCTCTACTTTGGATGGCTTTGACTCTTCTGGTGAGTGAAGGTAAAAACCATCTGGTGCTCCCTCTGGGTGCAGCCGAGTCTCGGAACTGTGGATGATCTGCAGTGCTTCTTCAATGGTGGGCAATTCTGCTTGCGTCCCTTGTCCACCACCTGGTTTCTCCTGAACCTGCAGGTCTGGGGTGAACTTTCCAGTCAATGGTACCTTTTTAAAGGTGCGTGGTTGCATTGGAAATTCAGCTGCATCCTCAGGAGGGGTGTAGCTGGCTCGAGTAATGCATCTGGGAGATTTTGGGGAAGAGGGAGTGTACACCGGAGCTGTAAGGCTATCCGAGCTGACAGAACGAAGAATGTTCACAGGGTTCCCCATTACAATGTCGACATCACTGTCAAGGCCAAATGGTATGCTGAAGGAAACAGCTTGGGACAGCGGTGAGCTGGAGGGGGAAAAAAAAAATCATGATATTACAAGTAGTGAAAAAATGTATATTGTTCTCGGAGCACTTTCATTGAAGAGCTTCTACACCTACCTTAAAGGATTTTTCGCCCAGGACTTTCCAAATCCTTCCATATGAGACATTGATGAAGAGTGAGGAAGAGATCCTACCATAAAAGAAGGTAACTTAGGGTTTAAAATGTTCAAGTCAATATAGCGATATTCTACGATGGAGATTCAAGTCAGCCCTTAAAACTTTTATTGTGGTGGTAAGTCAGACTCTCACCTGTGGTTCCGGGTCGGAAGTTAAAGACAGGAGAACCCCTGGGGAAAAAATAGAAGATAAACTTATAATTTGAGGTGCACCGAAACGGAAACCGAAATAAAAAAAAATTGGTCAGGCCGAAACTGAAGATGTTTTTCATTTTAATTTTTTCAAATTTTTTTATATTTAATTTTGTTAAACTTTGTATTTTTTAAAATATTTATTAATTCATTTTTAATTAAATATTTGTATTTTTTTACTTTACTTTTAGGGGCTTTTGGGGAACTATCAGGGGTCTAAACAGACCCCTGATATTTCCCTTTTAAAATAGAAAAAAAGATTGGGGACACAGAGTCCCAGAGTTATAAATGAAGCAGGAATCCTCTATACTGAGTGTTCCTGATCATTGATAACATGAGGACAGAGTGTGTTTACTATAACCACAACTATGAATGGACAGGAGGGGATGTAGATCACTTCCCATTTATTCATAATTGGGGATATAGTAACCATACTGTCCTCAATTATGTACAATACACTCAGCGATCACTGACTGCTTGTACCTGCTCTCCATCCTGACAGCTGTCACAGGAGGCTGAGCGAGCGGTGCAGAGAGGAGAGCTCAGCCTCCTGTGACAGCGTGGCCTGTCTCCGCCCACACATCGCTCTGCCGGGCTGTGATAGGAGGCTGAGCGGTGTGGGAGGAGAGACGCCGGCCACTCACAGCGCTCGTTTGGCCCGTCACAGTTTCTCTCCTTCCCTCTGGGACACAGAGCAGCGCCCAGCGGGGAGGAGAGAAAGCAAGGATGCGCCGTTGTATCGGCAGGAAAATGGCACTTTCGGTATTATGTTTCGGTGGCCGATATATCGGTGCATCGCTACTTATAATTATTGCAAATGTATTTACATTTTGTACTCAGCATCAAATCCAACATATGTGCTCAGCATCAAATCCAACATATGTGCTCAGCATCAAATGCATTTCTGAGGGGATATAAAGAAGGGAACATTCACCACTTAAAACAATCATTCAAGGGTTCTTCTCCAGGTGCACGGCTCCATAATCTCCATCACCAGTCACAGATACATTGCAGGTGAGCACACTTTCAGGGTTATTCACTAAAGAGTGAAGAGTTTAGAGAAGGCCGGAGGAGTGAACAATCTAGGACAACATCGCTGAACTGGAAAGTGAGCTGAATTGGAGAAGTTTTCCAGATCAGCGATGTTGTCCTAGATTGTTCACTTCTCCGGCCTCCTCCAAACTCTTCACCCTTTAGTGAATAACCCTGTTTGTTTCAGTTAAATATGGTTAGTGTTTAGGTACAATATAACCGATTACACACGCATGGTTGTATTTAGATGTCTTGCTGCCCTAAGTACACACTTTTTCATAAGCTCCCTACCAGTCTCCCTACCCACAACTGAAGTGGATCCTCAGCCGGGGGTGCAGTGTGGGCTGCTGTGCTGTGACTGAGCTCTATCCATATGTGCATTGTACAGCTCCCCTGTGCGCCCTTGTAGAGGTGCCGGGAGCTAGAATGTGACGTCACTCCGGTCCAGGCACCTCTATAGGACATGTGAGGTAGCTGTAAGCAATGCAAGTATGGATGGAGCTCCCTTGCGGCCATACCCCCCAGCCCATCCCACCCCACCCCAAGCTGACACTCGGCACCGGGCAGCATATTATGAATGGCTGCTTGGAGCGACAACTGACAGTGCTGAGCTTGTGGGAGGCTGAGGAGCCTTTCGCCTGGAAAAGTGGAAGGCATGCGCGCGACCCGCTGAACAGGGGGTTGAGAACAAAGGCTCTAAGGCATGCTGGCACAGGAAGTGGCAGGATCAATGCAATTTTATTGTGGCTGGTGCAAAATCTATGGCCCACAAGATCTGTTAACAAGATTTAATGCTCGACTGACAAAGAACTGTTGAAGGCCTTCTAGTATAGCTTCCAAATCCCGCTGGTCCTCTGGGGACAGGTTCACTTATAGATTGAATAAATGGCCTCGTATATACGCTGCATATCAGCCAACAACCCGCTGAGCAATTAGCTCGCCACGTCCCGCAATTCAGGAACCAATGAATAAATCTATAGATTTCTGGTGAATAAATTCCGTTTTCCAAAGACAATTGTTAGACGCTTGTTGCCACTGATTGTAATAACATACCCTCCGCTGTGCGCACTGGTAGGTGTGGGTGTGGTGCTGTCGATGCTCGACTGCAGATCTAAAAAGACAAATAATTCAGACAATGAAACATTAAAAGACAATTAAACATGTAAAGCATCCCAATTTTAGTCTGTATTACTGCACATTAAGGGCTCTTGTACACGGGTGCCCGCCCCTGTAAATGCCGGCGTATGCTCACCACCAGGGAGGTGCAGGTGCAGTGTAAAGCCTCACATAAAATGGCTGTACGTGGTTGCTGGCAGGTATACACCGGCACAATGTAATCCTGTGCAACATAAAACCTCCGTGTGCGCCCAAGGTTATATGTCCATGTGCAAGTTTATGTAGTGTGGGCATATACCTGCCAACAACTGGGTACAGCCATTGACTTTCATGTGAAACTTTATGATGCACCCTAAGCTCCCTGGTGGTGGGTATACTTTGGCATTTACGGTATAAGGGGGTGAGCGCCCGTGTGCTGGATCGCTTATTCCTCTCTTCGGGAGAGCCCCCTGCCTAGTACTGTGAGGTACCTGTTTCGGCAGGTCCCCAAAAGATCCGGGTCCACCAGCCTTCGGGTTGGTGGACCAACAGTCTCAACCCCTGTCAGGAGCCTTGTGCCCCGGGGGGTCGGGAATCTAGGTCCCTTCTTTATTGAAGGACCAAGCACCCTTGTGCACGTTTTTGTGTGCTGTGATTTCACGGTTCACTTTTTTTGTTCACAGGGGGAAGTTTGTTTTGATGCACGTCCACGGGCTTCGAAAAAAACCAAAAAAACGTATTGCTTTTCATGCAGTCTAGCCGTTTGAGGGACCGGGAGCTGCTGTATAGTCCCTACGGAGAAATGGCTCCTGGTTGCGTTTGCTCCTAGTGATTGCTCATGCTTCTGTGGGCAGGTACAATCGGCAAGCTCCAGTCGCGAGCCGTCCACATCCACCGACAGCGGTGTGCAGCTAGCTACAGTATGTGGGCGTGTACATGTAATGAAAAACTCCACCCACATACACGCCCACCACGTTGGGCATTTCCATTGAATTATGGGAAATGTAGGGCTTATGTTCCCCTGTGGATGTGACATGTGGTGTCACCATATGTCCTCCTCCCCCCAGCGCCGGGGGAACATAACATTTTTCCTAAGGAAGTGATGACATAACCGGGATTAAAACCATCATTTAATCCAAAAGTAAAGTGTCAATTTAAAACATTTCACAGCAGTTTAACGGAGAGGGGTCTATCAAAGCGAAGTAGGCAGAATCATTGAGCTGAGCTTTAACTACTTGAGGCCCCGGGTGTTAAACCCCCTTGCTGTCCCGGCCCTTTTTCAGTATTCAGCGCTGCGGGACTTATTCCGTCATACAACGCTGTACTCACATACAATTTATATCAGTTTTTGGGGACACACAGAGCTTTCTTTTGGTGGTATTTAACCACCACGGGGGGGCAGTTATTTTTTACTATATAATTGAAAAAAAAGTACTAAGAATTTTGTAAAGAAAACTTTTTTCCCTACGTTATATTATGAAACTTTTATTATTACCCAGATTTTTGGGTGAAAAGACACCAAACATGTCAAGCCTTAACATTGCATGGGCCTGCAAAGTCGCAAAAAAAACTACCATAATTAAAACAAGCCCTCTATGTGATAGCAAATGTACAATGACAGGTCCTCTTTATGGCGACATCAGGGGTCTCGAAGACGCCCGTCGACCCCCAAAGAAGCTGGTGAAGCAGAGATCTGCTTCCCCAGCTTCTTCTCTGGCTATAGCAGCCAGAGAAACGACAGCTGAAGGTGGAAGTTATGTAATACACATCGCTTCTGCCTTCAGAGATCGGAGGAGGGATCAGCAAGCAGGAGAATGCGGATCTCTCCTCCGTTTATTGTGTGAGCAGCCGCTGTGTCGGACCCGCATGGGCGACAGCGGAGCCAGGGATAACCAGCAGCAGTGGGAGGCGCACTCTGTTTAGCACCATACAAGTGATAGGGTGGCTGCAGAGCCCCCCCCAAACGCTTGTATGGAACAGCCGGTATCGGCTGTTTACAACTGCTCGAGCAGGAAAAAGAAAAGTGACGTACATACACGTCCACCCGCCGGGAAGAGGTATCCGTCGGTCTGTTTATTTACAATGGGCGGGCGGGCGGACGGCAAGCAAATATTATGAATGAGCATTACACTTTCATAGTTACTTTGTATTACTTGTAATTATATATGTATATAAGGGTGCAGCCACATATTACATAAGGCGGCTCTGCTTCTTGCCGACTAGTGCTGCACAATGATAAAGACCAAATAAAGACTGCTTCTGCCACAACATGTCGGCCTATAAACATGAATGTTTGGTCCACCCAATCGTGTGTGTGTGACAATATGGCTTCTATTTAAAATACGGGCGGGGTCTGCGCTTAATAATATATAGATAATCCGCAGAATTACTATATTATATGGGGTTTATATAGCGCCAACAGTTTGCACATCGCTTTGCATTATAAAGGGGGACAGTACAGTTGCAATACAATGCATGACACAAGGGTTAGGAGGGCCCTGATCCTGAGAGCTTACAATCTAAAAAGGGAGGGGCAAGTGACACAAAAGGGAATAACTGTGCTGAGATGAGCTGATGGAGAAAGCAAAAGGTTCAGTGGTTAGGTTGAGGCGGGATAGGAAGAGATGAGTGTTCAGGGATTGCCGATAGCTGGACAGGGTAGGAGATAGCTGGACAGGGTAGGAGATAGCTGGACAGGGTAGGAGATAGCTGGACAGAGTTGGAGGTAGCTGGACAGGTTGTGGTGGGGCGTTACAGAAGATGGGAGGCGCTCTGGAGAAGTCCTGGAGGTGATGAGGGAGCCAGAGAGCATTAGGTCTTGGAAGGTCAGAATCGCATACCTTTAGGCTGTACAAACTCTGGTTTGGTGACTTCAAAGCAGTAATACAGATCCGCCAAGAGTGACACAAGATTCACCTGATGACCAGAAGAGAGAAGACCACATATACATTAACATATGAGAGGATAGTTTATGGCAAGACCCCAAAAGCTGTGTACACAGGATGTCTTCCGATACTCACCCGCAGAGTCGTGGGCACGTAGAGCAAGTCTTCCAGGGACAGAGGACAAGATGGAGGTAGATGCTGGGCATAGAAATCTAGGATGAGCTGCAGGTTGTACAGACTGTCGGCGACAGACATAGTATCCTTCAGACAGACATCTGCAGGAAACAGAGATCGTCATAATGGTAGCAGCTGCGCTGATCCCTGTTACCAATTACAAAGCAACTCTGGACAATAAATAAAGTAACTTCGTTAAAGCTGAAGTCTAATCTGCTTATATTTTGCCTTTCCTGGTTTCTCATCCCCCCCCCCTTACCTCATCATGCTAACACAATTTTTAAATAAAACCTGTTTTCATTGCAGATCTTATTCTATCGCTGTTGGAGGGGCTGGCAGGGTGCTGTACATAGCTTCCTGAAACCATCACAGCACCCTGCCTTAGGACTCCTCTCAAGAGCCATCAGCCCTGATGCAAGCAGTGGGCTGGCTCTTAGGAGGAGTTTTTAATGAATTAGCCAATCAGAAAACAGACTGTTATGTCATTATTCATTCCAGCATGGCTCCCCAAAACTGAACAAAGAGCAGACCCTGTGTGGGCTGGCTGGAGTGCCTGAGAGCGGCAGGAGAGGCGGGTGCCCGAGAGCGGCAGGAGAGGCGGGTGCCCGAGAGCCGCAGGAGAGCTGGGTGCCCGAGAGCCGCAGGAGAGCTGGGTGCCCGAGAGCCGCAGGAGAGCTGGGTGCCCGAGAGCCGCAGGAGAGCTGGGTGCCCGAGAGCCGCAGGAGAGCCGGGTGCCCGAGAGCCACAGGAGAGCCGGGTGCCCGAGAGCCGCAGGAGAGCCGGGTGCCCGAGAGCTGCCGGGCCGACTCCGCTACGTGCCGAAAGCAATTAAAAAATAGCAGGACCTGGGGCATTCACACACACCCGGCTCTCCTGCGGTCCAACATGCCCCACCGATCACTGCTCCAATAAACAAAACTCCCTCCCTGAGCAGAGGTACTGATTATGGAAGTGTCCAGGGTGCCTGCCTGCAAACTCTGGCTCTGTTGCGGAGAGATAAGTGCTGCATCAAGGGACTAAAAACATTGTGCTGGCAGCACCAGGAGAGTCACAGCACTCCAGTTCTTTGACACCCCCCTCCCCCGACACTTCTCTAATAAATACCTCTGCACCAGGAGTTATGCTGTTTAGAGCAGTGGTCAGTGGAGCATGTTGGACCACGGGATAGCCAGGTGTGCGAGAGCTGCAGGGCCGACTCTGCTATGTGCTGAAAGCAATGGGTAAAAAAAACATAGCAGGACCTGGGGCTTTCACACGCCCGGCTCTCCTGCGGTCCAACATGCCTCACCGAACACTGCTCTAATCAACATAACTCCCTGAGCAGAGGTACTGATTATGGAAGTGTCCAGGGGGCCTGTCCGAGAACTCTGGCTCCGGCTCTGTTGCAGAGAGCTAAGTGCTGCATCAAGGGTTTAAAAACCTTTGTGCCGGCAGCACCAGGAGAGTCGCCGCAGCCCCTCCCTGCCAACGATTCTCTAATCAATACCCTTGCTCAGGGAGTTATGTTGATTAGAGCAGCGTTCAGTGGACTACAGGAAAGTCGGTATGTGAGAGCCACGGGTCCGACTCTGCAAGGTGCTTTAGGAAATGGACATAAGGAGGACATTTGGAGGGTTCAATTTGGCTTTAAAGGAGAATTATGAGGCGAGTGATTTTCACTCAGCCTCATAATCTGAGCCGACCTGTGACAATGAGACTGTCACAGGTCCGCTCAGTAGATCGGGAAGTGAGCGAACACATAGATCGAGTAGTGAGCGAGCGATGGTATCTCTGCAGAGAGCCGTGATGGTCACTCACGTCTCCCTGCAGGGATTCCCCCCCTCCCTGCTCCTACAGCGATGACTGGCGGAATGAACGGGCGCAGCTGGCTCTGCCTCTAGATAGGCAGAGCCAGCTGTCACTCACGCAGCTGGGTGGATCCAAACAGCATTGTCGGGATCCGTCCCGGCTGCAGCGGTCTCAGTATACCGTGAGCTGTAGCTCCCTATATACTGAGCTTTGGGTGACGGGAGGACGCTAGTTTGTGTTCTCCCGTGACCCTTAGGAGAACTATGGGGAAAAGCCCTGACGCCCCTAGTTCTCCTTTAAACTATTTTTCTTTAATTGATGTCAACAGGTAAGGTGTCTAACAACCATTTACCCATTACCCAGGCAGGTGGCAGTGAAAATGAAAGTTGACCGACTGTCATGATAATCCATCGGCATCAATTGTTTCATTTACTGGCCCGGAAAACAAGTGTGTAGATCAGGATTTCTAACTTCACTCGCCACATCTAGACCTTTTTAGGAGGAGGTCGGCAATGGAGGCCGGTACATCATACAGGTTTCCATTAGGGGCCACATACAGATCCTCGCCTGTTGTATCATGGCATTCAGGCTCCGGCCTTCACATGGTCACGGGGCCCTCTCTATTTCCTCTAACAGTCTTGTATTTGGCAACACGGGTGCAGCGTTCCGATCACATATCATTTACGCACATGAAATCTACACGTACCTTGCAGCCGGAGCTCGCCCGGGCAGTAGTAGTGGACGGTGGCAGCCAGTGCGCTCCCATTAGACAGGTCTCTGATGGAAGACACTGAGGTGAAGCATGGGGTCTGCCTAGACAGGGCCTTGTCCTTCCGATAGCGAATCTAGCAGAGAAACAGGAGGCAGCGTAAAAATGTAATACGATCATCTGCCACCTATCTACCGCGTGGCTTTCGGCCGTGTAATACATAATGCACTATTTATGAACTGCTCTACAACGGTGGTATCGCCGACAGCTCCCCTAGCAAGCATTTTACAGACACCAATTACCGATGAGACGTCCTTATAGACCTATGGCGTGGTGCGCAATGTGATCTAACGCTACTCCTACCGTATCATACATGGTGTGCGCTGCGTGCCACTCGTCAAAAACTACACAGGCCAGCGTGTGAACAGAACATGCAGCCACTACAAGGGTGAGTGCACAACACATACATTCAGCAAGCCGTGGAATACAAAAAGAAAAAAGAAATGAAACGATGCAGAGAAACTGAAATATTTTGCATTTAAAAGGGTTGAATAGGACATCCACAGAAATAAACATTCGGCAAATCTGATTTTCTTCCCTTTACACCGGTAGAATGAAGACCCATTACATAAAGTAGGGGGAAAAAAAGAACATCACTTAATCCATGGATGGCTTTAATTGGAGGACTGCTTACACAAAGTGGATTTAGCAAAAACCCATTACTAAAGCATCCTAATGAATGAAATAAGGCTCAAAGTCTTGTGAAATGAGTTTCGGAGCACAACATGGCCAACTTCAGACATTCGGCGAAGACCTCGGCCATCCCCCGCGGCGAAGACCTCGTGTATCCCCCATGGCGAAGACCTTGGGTATCACTCTTCACTCATGGTGAAGAGATTCAGTATCACTCATGGTGAAGAGATTCGGTATCACTCATGGTGAAGAGATTCAGTATCACTCATGGTGAAGACATTCGGCATCCTAATGAATGAAATAAGGCTCAAAGTCTTGTGAAATGAGTTTCGGAGCACAACATGGCCAACTTCAGACATTGGTTTCCCCCACAGTGAAGACCTCGGCCATCCCCCGCGGCGAAGACCTCGGCCATCCCCCGCGGCGAAGCCCTCGGCCATCCCCCGCGGCGAAGACCTCGGCCATCCCCCGCGGCGAAGACCTCGGCCATCCCCCACGGCGAAGACCTCGTGTATCCCCCATGGCGAAGACCTTGGGTATCACTCTTCACTCATGGTGAAGAGATTCGGTATCACTCATGGTGAAGAGATTCGGTATCACTCATGGTGAAGACATTCGGTATCACTCATGGTGAAGACATTCGGTATCACTCATGGTGAAGACATTCGGTATCACTCATGGTGAAGACATTCGGTATCACTCATGGTGAAGACATTCGGTATCACTCATGGTGAAGACATTCGGTATCACTCATGGTGAAGACATTCGGTATCACTCATGGTGAAGACATTCGGTATCACTCATGGTGAAGACATTCGGTATCACTCATGGTGAAGACATTCGGTATCACTCATGGTGAAGACATTCGGTATCACTCATGGTGAAGACATTCGGTATCACTCATGGTGAAGACATTCGGTATCACTCATGGTGAAGACATTCGGTATCACTCATGGTGAAGACATTCGGTATCACTCATGGTGAAGACATTCGGTATCACTCATGGTGAAGACATTCGGTATCACTCATGGTGAAGACATTCGGTATCACTCATGGTGAAGACATTCGGTATCACTCATGGTGAAGACATTCGGTATCACTCATGGTGAAGACATTCGGTATCACTCATGGTGAAGACATTCGGTATCACTCATGGTGAAGACATTCGGTATCACTCATGGTGAAGACATTCGGTATCACTCATGGTGAAGACATTCGGTATCACTCATGGTGAAGACATTCGGTATCACTCATGGTGAAGACATTCGGTATCACTCATGGTGAAGAGATTCGGTATCACTCATGGTGAAGAGATTCGGTATCACTCATGGTGAAGAGATTCGGTATCACTCATGGTGAAGACATTTGGTATCACTCATGGTGAAGACATTGGCTATCACTCATGGTGAAGACATTGGCTATCACTCATGGTGAAGACATTGGCTATCACCCAAGGTGAAGACCTTGGTTATCCCCAGACAGTGACTGCAGCAGACTGGGTGAAGTCACTGGTTGGCCGACAATTTTCCACCCGACTCCATCAAAGGTTGATCAAAAAATGTACTTTAGTCAAACCAGGTGGTAGGGTCACCCATGAATCCAATTTCATTTGATTCAGCGAAAAACCCCATGGTCCCATGGAGCCCCACACTGGTCAAATTTCAGCCAAGTCGACCAGTGTATGGCCACCCTAAAGCCAGGTATACACGGTCATATTTTCTGCCGTGTATACCCGGCTTCAAAGGCTGCAGGCTGAACGAAAAAAAAATATATAACAGATCCCTCCATCTACGCTGAACAGCATGGAAGGACGCATCTCCCGCTGCTTGCATTGCACTCTGACGGCAGCCGCGGGCCACTGTCTGAAAACCTGAATGGCTGAAGATTTTCCAACATGTTCCTTTGGCAAAAGTCGATCCAATGATTAACTTCTGCTGCGGGAAAAGGGTCACCAAATTTCAGTCGATTTAGCAGGCCGATGCGCTCCGTGTGTACCCGGCTCATGTGTCTAAACGCAACAGCAGCATGAAAACACGTTTCACTCTTCTTGCCGTGTACAATGAACGTACGTAGGGCAGCAGATGGCCCGATTAGAAAAGCAGACGACAAGTTGTCAGTCACAGGGGGAGCCGTCACACAGAGCAAAGGACAAGATGAGGACAACATAATTATCACGTGTCGGAGGTTTATTTACATTGGAGAACATCAGCGAACGTCGTGTCTGAGCGCTGTACACAAAGAGATTCAGAATTTTCTGCAAAACGCAATCATGGTGAGCAAAATGTAGTAACCCCCCTACCCAAAAAAAGATGGCCCCTTCCCAGGTGTGCATTGGTCCAAGGCATGGTGACGCACCTGTTCTACATTTGGTGCATTGCGATACCATTCATTGAGAATAGCACTCCAGCGCATTGTACAGTGGAGCGCAATGCACTGCAGCTCGCCACAACGCATATACCGCGTTTAAAAAACGGTCCTCCGTTCATACATTTTTTTCATATTGAATGGGCCGACCTAATGCAATGCATGTTAATGAGTGCCATTAATGCACCGCAATGGTAACTGTGAATGGGCCCTGAGTGTTTACTGGTGGCACAAAGTGACAATTGTGATCTTTCTTTGTCTTATCATATTATATTCAAGGCAATTTTCTTTTAATAAGGACAGGTATACCCTCCCTGTCAGGTGACCACTGTCACCCAGAGAGTGCTTACAAATGCTACAGCTCCCCTGGTACAGACACAATGATGTCACGTGGTGTGCTTTCATCTGACTCCTGCTCAGGATTTCAATTTTTCTCCATAAAAATATACTCCTCTTTGATCCTCGGATGTCACACGGCCGTCTAACTCTACCCAAAATCTGTTTTATGCCAAGTGCAGGGAACTGACTGCAGGAAAAAATGGGCTGGATATAGGTAAAGCCGGCACTGACTAAACGTGTGCTGACGCAATCTACACACAGGCTGACGCAATCTACACACAGGCTGACGCAATCTACACACAGGCCAATGCTGACTAAATGCAGGCAGACACAGACTACATGCGGTCCACTAAAACATAAGCAGACAGGACTCCTTATAAACTATGTTTACTGAGGAAAAATAATTTGTTGCAAATGTTTTGCACTTAATTTTCCAGTCGGAATTTCTCACTCGGCACCTTGTCGGGCCTAGTCTGGAAGTCAGTTACTTAGACTGCAAGGTTTACCGCACATAGGGCTACTGATGAGCTCAGACTTGGACTGAACCCAGTCCGAACCTGTGCTCACCTGAACCCAGAATCTACTTGGGGCCTCCCGCCCAACCAGCTGCAGGTCGGGGCATTCCGCACCCCGTAGCTGACCATAACATAGCGGCAGGATGCTTGCGCTGACATCATTTACCTTACATACCATTGTGTTGCATGTGTAAGTATCATGTTACAATTCATATACATCATGCAGGCGCTTACATGAATCTATCGCGTATTGCGCCATTTCCTGCACGGGCAGGAGTCAGAAATGTAATGAGTGTCCCTTTATATATAAAGCATGGAGGTAAAATATTCTGAAAGCTCCGGTACAGATATTTACTCTGTAAACACGTTGTTTTTTTTGTGCAAATTTTCCCATCAGGAAATATCGTGTAACACATTATGCAAATTTGTATTTGGTCTTGCAACAAAAGCTGGCGGCACACAAGGCCGTTAGAGCATTCCTCATTTGTTAAGAGATAACCATTTTTAGCTCCGAGTGGTATAAAAGGAAGAAACTCAGATTTGACTTGAAAAAGGAAAAAAAAAAAAAGTTACAATAAAATGTTTCAATACAACAAAAATGTTTTTAAAAAATCTCAATTTTTAGAATTGTGGAAATGATGGCGTGCACAATACGTTACCACAGGAGGCTTATTCCCAGACTCCTTTAAACAAAAAGCGATGGCATGCTAAAACGCAACGGAAAAGAGCAACGGAGAAAGTCAGGGCAGCTTCATATCAGAGGGAATGACAGACACACAGAGAGTCCGGGCAGCCGGGTTTATAATGGAGCCGGTGTAAAATGGCCGCCGGCCCGAGGCAAGCAATGATACAAGGGGGAAGGATTTATACAGCGGGGGGATCAGATCTTGGCGGCTGAAGCGTAAATGTAGCAGACTGATATCATTGTATCTTTATAAAGAGTGGACTTCCTGTCTTTCTTGGGGGGGATACAGACAATTGAGGGGTAACAGAATAATAACAGGGCGAAAAAATATACATTTCTTTACCCCAGACACCGTCAGATAATAACATCCGCCTGATATTCTAAACTCAGCGCCATTCTGAATACCTCCAATATTAAAACACGACTCCAGCCAAAAATAACCAAAAACTAAAAGTTTACAGCCCGCTGTTTTTTGTTTTTGTTATCGTCTACTATTGGAGAGAGGACCCGTCACTTGTCTGTCCGCCATGTCCGAGTGCTCTATTGGAGAGAGGACCCGTCACTTGTCTGTCCGCCATGTCTGAGTGCTCTATTGGAGAGATGACCCGTCACTTGTCTGTCCGCCATGTCTGAGCGCTCTATTGGAGAGATGACCCCTTCACTTGTCTGTCCGCTATGTCTGAGTGCTCTATTGGAGAGATGACCCCTTCACTTGTCTGTCCACCATGACACCATGTGGTGAAGATAGGAAGAATTTCATTCGAAACATGTTACTTTGTGTAGCCCCCCCATTAACTTCTGTGATGTGGCTACTAGACATTTAGTGGTAGCCCGTGCTATAGTCAGCCTGGTTGGAATTATCGTGGCAATTATCTGGTTTAATTCCAGGTGTCTGGCATTGCCTGGGCGGAGTGTGACTCTGTCATATGGTGGGACAGCCAATGAGAGATGCTGTAGTGTATGTACAGTACAGCAGCCGATCACTGGGTTTCTCTCAGCCAGTGGTGCATGCTGGGATAGGGTACATATACTGGAGGGGTTTGCCATGTGCTCAGACTAACAGGGACCAGCCATGGAGTAGGGCTGGGTGCTGTTCAGCCTGCCCCCAAGGCTAGGCCTGAGGATGGGCATGGGCTGGTGTGAGGGAAAGGTTTCCACAAGGCCTCCAACATGGAGGAGGCCTGTGCTGCTGTTAGAGGAAGAGACTCAGGACCAATACTGGCTCTTGAAGTATCCTGGAACTAAGAGGACTTTAGGAGCATGGCCGGTGTCTTTCCTGTTGAGGATCTGTGTTCATCCTGCTTATCTGCTACATAAGTCGCCATCCGCTGCCTCCCAAGTGGATCTACACTGATATATATGCCAACCAGGTCTGGTGAGTCTGGAGCTCTTGTTAGTGACCCCTGGAAGCTTAGAATCCCTCCATATCTTCTCTCCTCAGGAAAGATGTTCAATAAAACGTTATTCTGCATTTTACTACTGGAATGGACATCAGTCTGTGGGCACTAAAGGAAGGGCGGTGGAAGCTAATGGGTGGGCAGCTGAAGATCATCCCCTAGACCAGGGCTTCTTAAAGTGTGGGTCGCGACCCCATATGGGGTCCCGCAAGTGAACAGGGGGGTCGCGATCCGAGTACCCGGCCATGACCGCCATCAGGGGGGTATGGCCAGTACTTGTGTGAGGGGGCCCAGGCGGCCGAGGAGGTCTTGGCACCAAGCTAGATTGTTTTATTTCAGTTTAATGTATCATTTGCAGTGTAGTGTAGTTTTTAAGGTCGCGGCCCCCCCTGTGCACTTGGTACCTTCCTGAGCACGTGTGCACTTGGTACCTTCCTGAGCACGTGTGCGCAAGAAGGTTTTTTTTTTGTTTTTTTTTTACATTGACCGAACTTTCTTTAACCCAGCAGCAGTGGGGGGAGAGAGACACCGACCAACCTTACGCTAGGGGGGGGGGCGGGGGGTGGAGACACCGACCGACATTGGGGTCCTTAAAAATTTCCTCGGCCAAAAAGGGGTCACGAGTGGAGAAAGTTTAGGAAGGCCTGTCCTAGAGCAGGGATGCCCACAATTTTTCGTCTGAAGATCTACTTTTCATGTGATGAGCTCAATGAGATCTACCAACGAAAAAACACCTGCATTCAGGGGCGGGAGGGGGCGTGGCGGTGCATTGAAAATCAATAGCACCGCAGGCAGGCCCTTCGCCACAGTGCGATAGCCCGCACCCGGAACGCAGGTAAATTAGTGCCTGCGTTCCAGTCCAGTGCGATCCGCAAAAATGCTGCAAGCACTATTTTTGCAGATCGCACTGGACCAGAATGCAGGCACTAATGTGCCTGCGTTCCGGGTGCCGGCTATCGCACTGTGGGTGGGGGGCATGGCTGCGGTGCCTTTGACTTTTAATACAACCCCAGACCCCCTCCTGCCCCTGAACGCAGGGAGTCGGCCATCTTACATACCAGTGTGTCCTAGAGGTCCCGGCGTCCTGTCCTCCTCGTGTGGCCGATGTTGCACATGGGGAGAGGTGTCCTGCCCCTTTCCATCTGCAGCGTCCGACACATTCAGCCGGCAGCCGCAAGAGCACCGTGGGAGCATAACCGTAGCCAGCTCCTTTTGCGCCCGAGGCAAGAAAATATGCCCCCCCCCAACAGACGTGTGATGTCACCCAGCGCCCTGCCTCCAAGATTTATTTTTTATTTTTATTATTTCTTGTTAATTCTATTTAATTTTTTTATTTACATTTTTTTTTTACTCTTGGGGGGGCTTTGGGAAAATATTAGGGGTCTAAACAGCCCCCTGATATTTCCCTTTTAAAATAGAAAAAGAAATTGAGGACAAAGTCCTCAATCTCTTTTTCTGCAGCCTCTGTTGTGAATGAATGGAAAGCACAGAGGCTTCCCATTCATTTACAAAATATTTTACTATCATCCAGTTTCTGAATGGGGAGGAGCCTCTGTACAGAGTGCTTCTCCCCATTGAGAAATTTATGAATGAACAGGAAGTGATCTAAATCACATCCTTTTCATTCATAACTGGGGACACATAGTACTATTTGTCCCCAGTTATTTACAAACACCGGAGTGATCAGCTGATCGCTCCAGTGTTTGTCCTGCACAGAGGATTGGTACATATCACTCATATGTACCGATCCTCTGCCACTGGGCCACGCACACGGGGGCTCAGCTTCTCCTCTGGATCCCCCCTGCTCTCCCGGGCAGAGGCAGCGGGGGATCCGAGGAGAAGTGAAAGAAACACTTGCGGTAGGATGGAGCCGCTGTCACAGAACTAAGGCCGAGTGGTGAGGGAATAGAGAGGCGCCGGCTGTCAGAAGCTGGCCGAGCGTCTCTCTCTCTCTCTCCTCACCGCCTTAGTTCTGTGACAGCGGCTCCGTCCTCCGCAGCGTTCCTTCACTTCTCGGATCCCCACTGCATAGAGATGGGGAGAGCAGCGGGGATCCAGAAAAGCCCCACGGGCGGGAGGAGGGGACATCGCGATCTACCAGTGATTGCTACGCGATCGATTGGTAGATCGCGATCGACCTTATGGGCACCCCTGCCCTAGACAGACTAGAGATGAACCGGGCATTCAGCGGCTCCTTCGGGGGTGAGCGCTACATTTGTAACACTCGGCCCATTTTCTAGTAGATAACGGATAAATTTTCGCCTTGTTTTTGACTACATTGAGGAGAAAAATGGAAAAAGCGCAGGTTGGAAATGTTTACTGGTTTCTTATCTGAGAGAACGAAATTCTAACTGTTACAGGGTACCCATGGTCATGAACAATATTTGATTGTCTTGTCTAGAAGAACGGCCTTTTTCAGCAAAAATGTCTTTCTGTCGTGGCGACACCGGTGTCCTATCGAATTCTCCAACTCGTCGAGACCGCCAACTCCCGTCAATGCGCCTGTGCTGCCGCCCAAGAGAAGTATCAAGCTGTACAATCTGCGCGGGCGCCCGATGCCACAAGCACCGACGGGAGTTGAATAACTCAATGACCATTTAGAGGCCGCGCAGGCGCACCTACGGCTAGTGGAGAAGTCAACGAGGATTGCAAAAAAACTGGGCCGGCTGGCGCACGCGCACTGTCGCCATGTCGTCCAAATCCACAACGGATGCGACGTCACGAGTTGGAGATCTCGACGAGTTGGAGATCTCGACGAGTTGGAGATCTCGACGAGTTGGAGATCTCGACGAGTTGGCCACCTCGACGAGTTGGCCACCTCGACGAGTTGGCCACCTCGACGAGTTGGCCACCTCGACGAGTTGGCCACCTCGACGAGTTGGCCACCTCGACGAGATAGCCACCC